CTGACGGTAAAATTCTCTTTTACTAATAAAATTAAATTTCGAGAAAGTAAACCTTTAAAATTATTTTTCTTTTAAATAATAGGATTGGAGAAGATTTTTACCTCTATAAAAATATAAAATTGTATAGCGGAATTGTAATAAATGTGTTGTCTACATTATTGTCCCGAAGCCCTAGACTTCTTACGAAACTTCAGTGTTTTTTATAATCTCATTCAATATGGTCAGCTAATTATGTTTCCATCTTGGTCAGTAAAACAGGAATATTGCGGTCAGTGTTGCATATTTCCCGTCCAAAACACTTTTTCCCAGGACAGTGGGGAAAAGTGGTTTAAACCACCCCTTTTGCCCACTGGGCAATTGGACAAAACGGATCGCCACCTAGCGGTATGCAGGCGCGCCATCTAGCGTAATCTACATAAGAACTACGTTTTGCCCACTTTTTTCCATTCCCCATTGATTTTGGTGGGTGGGAAAAAGTGTCTTTTTCCCACTTTTTCCCACTGTCTGGCAAAAAGTGGTTTAAACCACTTGCAACCCTGATTGCGGTGCTTGCTGCTCCTCTGAAATGGGGATGTTATTATCTTGAGCTGCTGATTAATAAAAACATCTGGAAAAAACTGGGAGTTTTATTTAATACATTAATCATGCTAAATTTTGTCGACTACTCCCATTCAAAATAAGTGTCGCATAACTGGGTTATCGAGTTTCAAGAAAAAAACAGAAAATATAAGCTTACAAGGAAACTAATATGGAAACATTCAGTTACTATTATACCAAAATGGCCCTTGATTTATCATATTTGCAAGAATTTGATATTCATTATTATTCCGAGCAAATATTTGTGGTCAATTTCGCTTCCTTGAGGAGTAAATGTTGGAGCAGGTATATTGAAATTGACGAGATACATAAATAAATATTAAACCATACGTTTTAACTTGGCAAATTAGGATTGTCATTTTTAATTCTGACTAAAATCTATGTATGATGATAACGAACTACTTTCGTAGAGGGCAGGCATATTAAATATTATACGATCGATGAAAAGGAATTGGTTTGTTTATCATCGATTTAAATTGTAATACAGCCTACATATTTACGAGTAAAAGCATAAAAGCAGTTTTAAACTTCTACCCTTATAACAAATCATACTGATTCTTATAGAGTTTTTAACTTTATTATTCAGATTTTTATTAAACTCGAATACATAAATAAATATCTGAGACCCATGGCGTGCTTTACTTCGGATTGATTTACATAGAAGATTTAACGAGAAGGTATTGTGATGATTGGATTGTCGGATAATTACCCAATAAAATTGGGAACATTATTCCAATCTGGGAACCATTCAGGTTTTAATATTTATTCTTTGATATTAAAAAAAAACGATTAATTTAAAGCGAATATCTCCAAGTGAATGGAAAATTTGGGGAAAGTCGCCATAGTCTAGTTACCAGTTACTGTGCAAAAACAGTATTTGCTATCTGCCTACATTCTCCAAATATTATTCGCAGTTTTAAACATGCACGAGCTATTTAATTCGTGATACACGTGATGTACACCAAATACTTCTTCAGAATTCTATACTACTGTTTCTACATTCCCAACCTGATGGGTGCCCAGCCAGTGCACGTTTCTCCAAAAACTGGTCTATTTTATACGCTGCCAAAATCTAGGCGGCGACTGCTATGTTCAATGCTAATCTTTATCAGCGTTGCGTCGGTTTTCATATTGCGGACAGGCGAAATCTGGTGGTACAAGGGGGGAAATAGACACCCGTACTTTCACGTGTGTTACGCCCTCTCATTCGTGGCGGTGATGGAATTAACGACGATAATTCAAATGTTCTGGACGAATAGGGAAGTTGCCGTCGTCCTGAATCAGATGACTCGTTATTGTATCAGATTTGAAAGTAAGGGTCATATAATGATTAGGCGTGCTGGGAATGATTTAAAGAAATTTTGATAATTTTTTTAGAAATTTGGACGATATCCGGATACAATCCTATGGATTTGAGATCCCTACCACTGGCTGGAATAGTGCTGGATATTTGCTGTATTTTGCTGACAGTATCATGCAATTCACTATTTTGGACAAATACCGCTTACTACCTGTCTTTCCCGGATACACCGATATTTCATATAACATTACTGCCAATTAAGTGGCAAAATTGGTATCCGATACATGTAATTCATGTCTTATACCTTACCTACTACACAACAATTGTGTACGAATCGTTGCTTTCAAATGCGAGTATTGCGATTATTTTTGCAAGTAAGTAGGTTTTTAAAAAATGTAAACTTTGCATATGTTTTTAGTAGTGAGTTCTTTTGCTTTGCACAATGTATTTTTCAAGATATGGCGCTTGCACGTATGAACTCCTGAGTAAAATATCTGAAGCCAAAATTATATGCTAAAATATTACAGCTTCTGGCTACACAATGTTGGTTTCTGGATTTTATGTAAAAGCGAGGGCTGACAAACCTTATAAGACGTACCGATCACTTCGACAACCTTACAACTTGATACATGAGTATATCTGCTTGCAGATAATATTCAAGCAGGTCATGTCAATATATGGATTCTGGTTGCTTGCCATGCACTCGTTCATGGGGCAATTTGCATTATTTTGCAATTATTCTGTTATCAAGTATTGGGACCAATTAAATCCTTTAACCAGGGTAAGAAGTGACGAATTGTTAAATTAATTTAGAATCCAGGCGGGGGATTTAAATGTTTAAATCGAATTTTTGAATTCCTTATCTCAGATACTTCTCATAGTCTGGAGCGCGGTAGTTCAAATCCCGTGGATATCATTCCTCCACGTGTCCGGGAACTTTTTCCAATTGTCACAGAGAACTTTGAAATCTTGGAAAGAAATTAAATGTAGAAATACATTGGAAAGGAAATATCTGTCCAAATCGAGAAAGGCATGTCGACCATTGAAAGTGGGGGCTGACGGTGTGTTCACAATTAACCGATTGACTGTGTTGAAGTTTATTAGAGGAATTATAAAGGGAACTTTCAGAGCGATGATGACTATTGGGAGGAAATGAATTGTTTAATGTGCATGTGCTACCCTCGTAAAATAATCCACCAAATAAAAATTATACAATGATATTTATTAATGATTGAGTTAACCTGGTAGAACATGATAAATTGGTAATATGCGGTCATCGCTATATATAATTAACTTATATATTTACCCATTTCTGTCTGTCTGTCTGGAGAACGCATCCCTTCTATGTTAAGCTTAGCAGCATTAGTTGGATAGGACGAGGGGATCATTCACAAACTACGTCGCTTACCTTCGGGATCGTTCAAAATTTACATAGATTATTCTTATGAGGACAATAGGACACTGACCGTGACGGGAGAGTGACCGTGATTAGTTAGGTCAAGCCTGGTCGACTCGAACGCCTGATTGGATTGATTTGTTTCCTTGACCCAGGACGATATAGTCCAATCGACCCTCACCAGATTTGGTGTATCGACGCTTTGATCTTAATCAAATCATGCCAACCTAAGTGCATGATTGATTTGATTTGATTTGATCGCAATCAAATCAAGGGCAACCTTAATCAGACTGGGTGCATGATTGATTTGATTTGATCGCAATAAAATCAAGGGCAACCGTAATCAGACTGGGTGCATGATTGATTTGATTTGATCGCAATAAAATCAAGGGCAACCGTAATCAGACTGGGTGCATGATTGATTTGATTTGATTTGATCGCAATCAAATCAAAGGCAACCTCATCTGACTGGGTGCATGATTGATTTGATTTGAGTTGATCGCAATCAAATCAAGGGCAACCTTTATCAGATTTGGGGCGTGGTTGATTTGATTGCATGCAAATAAATCATTTATAAATTATACCAGTATTAACCCTTATTGTTATTATAAGTAGAATAGGTAATATGCGCAGAATACGCAGAATATGCAGAATTTTCTAAGTAGGTAGAGATTACGTAATAGAGGCAACATCTACTTGGGTATTTGATTTTGTTGTGTATAGTTGTGGTAACATTTTCATCATTCCTTGCTCTCCATATGAGCTCTTCTGTTTAGAGAGGGTATGTTAAGTGATTTCCAATATTAAAAAATATACTACTAAATTTTCATAAAATAAATGAGATATATTTTGCAAACGAAGATGGACCATTGTGAAGATCCAAGAGATCGAAAACGTCGACTGGCGAAAGAAAGAAAACAAAGATGGGAAGCAAGACAAAGTCAGGAAACACTTGACCGAATTCGAGAAGAAAAGCGAGCAAAGCGAAGATTACAGAGAAAGGTCAGGAGTTTCTGTCAGGAGTTTCTGTCAGGAAACGTCAGGAGTTTCTGTAGAAACTCCTGACGAAGTAGCAGTACGCCGTGAAGAAGATTCTCAGGCTCATCGACTTAGACGTCAATTCGAGACCCCTGAACAGTCAACAACACGACGTGAAGTAGATTCTCAGGCCCACCAGATAAGTCGTCAAATGGAGACACTTGAAGAAACAGAACGTCGACACCAATCAGACTATATAGGTACTTAAAAGATTGAACTTTTTTAACCTCTTGATTTATGGCGTATAGGAATTTAGCGTAGTTAAACTGAAATTGCTGTGATTTAGGTATTATTCTACTCTGGCAAATAAGAGTCAAAGGATACAAGTTGAAGCCATAACAAGCAATTACGACGAAAGTAGTCTCGAAGAACATTCTTGCGGAGGAATGATCAGTGTGTGTCAATTTTGTGGATCCCGGAATTTTGCATCCGAGCGGCCAATTGACGGAAAGTTTACTTCGTGCTGTCGCAAGGGAAGGGTGAAGTTGCCAAAGCTAATGAGCGAAAGTGGAATTGAGTTAATTTATCCAGATTTTCTACGAACCCTACTATCGGACATTGATAATCCTAATTGTTCCAATTTTCGTGAACTAATCCGTTCCTACAATAGTGCAGTGTCTTTCGCATCTATGGGTGCCAAAATTATGGATGTGCCTGGTAGAGGTCCCTATGTTTTCAAAGTTCACGGACAAACATACCATAGAACTTCACACATTGAACCCATTGATGATTCAACCCCTCAGTTCGCACAACTTTACGTGTTTGATAGTACCCACAAACATCCGCCAAAACCACCCAGCCAACGAAAGCTGTGACCCTATCATCTTGGATCAAATTGATCGTCTATTTAGACAGCACAATATTATTGCAAGAAGTTATCATATGATGCGAGAGATTGAAGCTGAGGAAAGTCGTCAAGCAATTCAACGAGGAGATGACATCCCTGTGGTCATTATGGCATTTAGAAGAGATAGGCGGCTGGACCAAAGGGTATACAACGAACCAAGATCAAACGAAGTTGCCATGGTTTTTGTGAATGATGACGGAGAACCACCCTTCGAGCGTGACATCAGAATTTACCCCCGGAATCCACAAGAACCTGATCAACCTTTTATCAACATCAATATCCTCAGCCCAAATCTGGACCCAATGACGTATGCAATTTTGTTTCTGTATGGAGAGCCGGGTTGGCAACCACGGTGGGAGTGTGAATCATATGACGGGGCGCACCGGAATCCAGCAAGAAACAATGTTAGCATGCTTCAATATAAGGCTGCCCTGACTGCTATTCGTGGAGAATTTAACCCTATTATGAGTGCAGGGAAATTGACTCAACAGTGGTTAGTTGATTCGTACCTCCAAGTGGAAGCCAATAACCTTAATTTTGCCAGATTTCAACAAAACAAACTGCGGGCGGAATTGTACCAAGGATTAGTCGATCATATTGCCAATTTAGCAAACAACGCTAACGTGCCCGCTGGAGTTGCAACCATCCTGCCATCAAGTTTTGAAGGATCACCAAGAAATATGGCAGAGAGATGCAAGGACGCTATGGCGATTTTTGCAAAATGGGGAGCTCATGATCTCTTTATAACTTTTACGGCAAATCCAACTTGGCCTGAGATAGTAGAAAACTTGAATTCGTGGGAACAAGTATCTGATCGTCCGGATTTGGTTGCTAGAATTTTCAAAATCAAGTTAAAAGCCTTACTGGATGATGTTACAGTCCATGGAATCTTTGGGAAATCTATTGCACATGCATATACAATAGAGTTTCAGAAACGTGGACTCCCCCATGCTCATATTTTGGTGACATTACAATCCGAAGCAAAGTTCACCTGCGGGGAGCATATTGACCAATTTGTACGAGCAGAGATTCCAGATCCAATAGAAAATCCTCGGCTTCATCAGATCGTTAGCAGGTGTATGTTACATGGACCTTGCGGCAATCTAAAACCTAATGCCTCTTGCATGGAAGACGGAGAATGTAAGAAAAAGTTTCCCAAAGACTTCAACGATGTAACTAAGTCAAACAACAAAGGCTACCCCACCTACCGTCGTCGGAGGGGGATAACAGTTCAGGTCAGGGGATCTACAATGGACAACAGATATGTAGTATCCTATAGCCCATATTTGCTTCTAAAATACAATGCCCACATCAATGTTGAAGTTTGTACGTCGCTGCTGGCCGTCAAACATATTTACAAATACATTTACAAAGGATTTGACTGTGCGTGCATAAGAATAACTTCGGACGGTCAGCAACAACTACAGTACAACGAAATTGACAATTATATAAACGGTCGCTACCTTAGTGCACCAGAAGCAATATGGAGACTGTTGGAGTTTAAAATGCACGACCGATCCCATGCTGTTATGAAACTGCCATTTCATCTTCCAAACCAACAAAGAATACAATTTGAAGAAGGTCGAGAAGAGGAGGCGCTGATGGCTGCTGAAGCTGGCCGGACAAAATTGGAATCTTGGTTTCATCTTAATTCTACAGATCATGATGCCCAACAGTATTTGTATACCGAAATTCCTCACCACTACGTATACGTGAAAGGAAATTGGGAAAAACGACAACGTTTTGCTATATCTGCTGTTTTTGCAATCCGGCTAAGCCTTTGGACTTATGGAGCAAGTTTATAGTTGAAATGACTCTTGACTACTCAAGAAATCACCAACATGATGCTGCGTTGAACATGGCGTTTCACGATATAGAAGAAATTTTACAGCAACATGGGTCATCGTGTGAAAAGATTGGTTTACCACCACCAAGTGGGGTCGCGCCTCTAGAGGAAGGATTTAATCCGATTATAGAAGCCCAGATTGCTCAAGAAAGAATTGCTATCCTGAATCAAAACCAACGAGAGGCCTTCAATAGAATTGTACGAGCCATCGACAATCCAGAAGACCCAGAACGAGCTTTTTATATTGATGGTCCAGGAGGCTCGGGGAAGAAGTTCCTTTACGCCACCTTATTATCATTTGTTCGCGGAAGATCCCAGATTGCCTTGCCGTTTGCTACGACGGGGATAGCTGCTACGTTGCTAAAAGGGGGAAGAACTGCTCATAGCGGATTTAAGCTAGACGTTCCACTGATTGACACGTCAGTTTCTAGGTTGCGACCTTCTTCCAAAGATGCAGATGTGCTTCGACAAAGCTCACTCATTCTTATCGATGAGATTACAATGTTATCAAAACATGGACTCAGGTGTATCGACAGATTACTACGAGAGGTTACGAATTGTAAAGAAAAACCGTTTGGTGGGAAGGTAATTGTTATTGGAGAAGATTTTCGTCAAACCCTTCCTGTTGTTCCACGAGGTACCCGCGCCCAAATCCTTGAATGTTGTAAAAGCGAGTAAGATCTGGAACAAGTTCGTACCTCTAACACTTTCGACCAACATGAGGACGGATGGGCATAACGAGCACAACGATTGGCTTCTAAAAGTTGGAACTGGGGATTTGGAACCCAATCAAGAAGTACCGTACACCGACACCATTGAAATTCCTCAGCATATGATTGGGACAGACGATTTAATCACATCAATCTTCGGGGAAAACATTCATCAATTGTCTGTTGAGGAATTAGCAAAGCGGGTTATACTTCACCAACAAATGAGCAAACTCTTGAGTTAAACAGGAAGATCATTGATCTATTGCCCGGTGACCCTTCAATATATTACAGTGCTGATTCAGTTTCTTCACAAGATCCCAGTGACGAACTTAATTATCCAGTTGAATTTCTTAATAAGCAGACACCATCGGGAATGCCTCCACATGTCCTCTTACTGAAAAAAGGAGTCATCATCATGTTGCTGCGAAATTTAAACCCTAAGAAAGGATTATGCAACGGAACAAGACTTATCGTGCGGAATTTGCATAGGAACTTCATAACGGCTGAGATTATTTCAGAGTGTAATCGAGGAGATATCGTATTTATTCCAAGGATTGATTTGGCTCCATCGGATACTACACTACCGTTTATATTGAGACGAAGGCAGTTCCCGATTACCCCAGCTTATGCAATTACCATCAATAAATCTCAGGGGCAGTCGTATGATCACGTTGGAATAAACCTTAGGGCACCAGTCTTTTCACACGGACAGTTATACGTTGCATTATCAAGGTGTAGAAATCCAAACGAGGTGAGAGTATTCATGCAGAGAAACGTACAACAAGGAAATTTGCTAAATGATGATCGTCAGTTTACTCGAAATGTTGTTTTCAGAGAAATTTTCCAATGATCTTTAATTATGACATTTGTAAATACGTATGGCCCGATAAATAATGCCTCCTCAGCCTGAGTAAAGGTCGAGGAGCTCCTTAATTCATATAAACAATGAAAATTTTCACTTCCTCAACCTCAACCTCACCTTGACCTCAACTCAAACTCGACCTCACACTAAAATTTAAGTCAGCGTATAAACAATGAAATTTGAGGAAGACCTCATCCTCAGAAACTTGAGGCTTCCTCACAATATTTGAGGAAGGTGCATGACCTTCCTTTAGCTTTACTAAGAGCAGTTTTTTGGTTAAAAAAATTCAAAAACGTTTGAAAATGTCACTCTCGCGACTTGCTAATTTTGAATATCGTCGGGAACGTCAAAGGAGGGTGGCGGTTATCCCCCTAAGACGACTTCGAGATCGACAAAATCCAGTTGAGTGGTTCAACGCCGTCGAGTTCAAACTCCGCTACCACATGTATAAAGATACTGCAATATTCGTCACAGGGCTTATCCAGCACGAGCTTTCTTCTCCTATTCGCCGGGGTATTCACGTCCCCCCTGTTGTGCAATTTTTGACTGTTCTTCGTTTTTATGCAACTGGCTGCTTCCAGTTGGATAACGCTGATCTGCACACATTATCCCAGCCCACAATCTGCAATCTTGTGAAACGTGTCTCGGCCTCAATTGCAAAGCTGCGAAGACGTTTCATTCGATTCCCAGCAGAAGATGAAGCAGACGCAGTTCGTAGAGATTTCTTTGGACTGGCAGGATTCCCAGGTTTGACTGCGAATCAAATTATAGAAAATTGAATATATATATATCTTTATATAAAACTATAGGAGTAATTGGAAGCATTGACTGAATTAGGACAAGAAACACTATAGAGAGGGCATTTGGTGTGGTGAAGAGACGTTTTCAGTGTATGCGGAAGCTCAGATTAAAGCTAAAAACAAGCCTAATTGTTATTGTAGCAGTATCAATTTTGCATAATATTTGCAGGTAACAAATTTATTTAAAGGCAGAAATTAAACGACAAGCATTAATAAAATATATATGTACAGAAAGCGGCTTGACATATTCGACAACGACAGAACATTGAATGAGGACGGAGATGATCCCACGCAAAACGACAGTTCAGCAGCGAATAGAAGAAGCACAACATCGGGAAAGGTTTTTAGGGCTGCATTTGTACAAAATCATTTTAGTCGGTAGTCAGATAAGATTGGCATAATTATATATGTATATTTTTTTCAAATTACCGTGTTATGTAGATTCTGTAATGAAAACTGTAGAATTTGCGCTGTTATGAATTTGTGCCAGCAGTAGTTGTTTTTCAAGTTCATGTTTTTCTTGTATAAATTCCAATTCAAGTCTTGATTTTTTAACTCTAATTTGTTCCGCTTCAAAAGTTAACGCCAAAGTTTTCATTCGCACCTGGTGCTCTTCATGCTCCCAGTCAACTAGCGCAGATCGGGCGTCACGATTTCTTGGCTCTGAAAAATATAACATGGTTAAAGTATTTATATAGCACAATGAATAAAAATGTAATCAAAATGTAATCAAAAAGTACTTTTTGGAGCCGGAGCCGTGTTGACCAATTCGTTCGGTGGAGCCGTATTCGTTGAATTTTCGGCTTCGAACATTTCACTGATTTCTTTCTTTTGTTGCTCCACCCACTTGTCGCAATCAAACTCGTTGTCTAATGGCTGCATTTGCGTGGGAACGATTGCAATAACTTTTTCGCTAATTTTGGGGATATCTGTTGGCTGCTCGCCTCCACCCGTTTTTCTATGTTTCCTCTTGTGAGTAGTTACCTAATGAATAGTAAGGTAAAATTAAATGTAAATCTTGGAAATCGAAACAGTTGGAAATCAAGTTGCTCCTCACATCTTTTTTCGCCCGACGTTTCATGTTATCCCATTTTTTTTGTAACTGCGCCCGTGTTCTTTTTTTAACCTCTGCAGACGAGTTGAATTGTTGAACCAGACTGTCCCAAGCCTTTCGTTTCTTGTCTGAATTCAAAAAATCCGTTCTCTTATCTTCTAGCACTTTTTTCCCCGAATTTACCAAAGAAAGCAGCAACTCGGTTTCAAAGGATGTGAAGGTTTGACGAGTTTTCACAGAATTTGCACCAGAAAATCCACTTTCTGTATCGCTAATCTCTAGATTTTGACTGGTTTGGCTCATTTTAGCAGTTAAAATAATTATCCACTAACGTTAATTTAAATAAATATCCTTAAAAAAATATGGGAGAGCGAATACGGGAGAGAAATATGCAGCAGCTGACTTTGAGGAAAGGTTGAGGTCGACCTCCACGGAGGAAGGGAGCAATTTTCATTGTTTATATGAATTGAGTTTAAGGAGCTCCTCGTCCTCCACTCATCCTCCCGTGAGGAAGGCTTGAGGTCGAGGTGTTCCTTTACATTATTAATATGACCATTAGTATGTATGTCAATACTTATTTTGTTAGATTTAATTTTAATTTGTAAGGAATCTGTGAATGATCTGTATTGTTCTTATTTTAAGGATTTTCGGTTAATGAATAAATTAACTGGTTCGATGCTATCACAATATTTTAATACGTATTACGATAATTCCATGGGGTGCCACGGGTACCACAAAATCACCTAGTATTGAATACATATGTTATGCATATTAATTTTATACATACATTAAAAATTTATTTGTAGACATGTCATTTTTATATGTTACTTGCTCAAAGGCTTTATAATCGTGTAGTACTAACCGTGAAATTTACTTTATTTTTCCGAAATACATATACCTGTTTTTAGCCTTCTTTAATTTTTACCAAAATTCCAAAAGCTATGGCGAGTTAAAAATCGATTTTTTTGGGCGGAAAAATAATTTGAAAATGTGTTATTAATCTTAAGGGTTAGTCGTAAATATCAACTCAAAATGATTACAAGAGTGATTAGGTTTTGATAAATATAAATGAAATACAAATGTGTGTTCATATCTAATTGCAAATAACTTTTAATGTCTTCAACAAATATTAGTAAATGCGTAACTTTGGGTCAAAATCCAACACGCAAGTCCGTTGGAACCTTGACGCCTAAGGACTTATTTATCAAAATGCACGCCCCGATAATTGACGTTACAACCCTTGACAATAGATCGTGCCGGCGTCTGAACTAGATAGAAGTATTCAATTAACTCTAATGTTTCAATGCATGTCGAGTTTCCGGAAAAATCCTCGTTTTCAAACACAGTCCAACTTGACCGTCCCGTAAGGATGGCACCACTAGGAAGAAATCCGAAATTTGTGGAGGCTAAGCCAGTAAATGTGAGTTCTACTTCACCGGCAATGTTGTTACTAATTCCGCTGTATATGGAAATAGAAGGGGTTGAGGTTTCCAAAGGACCGACATGTCGCAAAGACTTGATAGCAGGAAGGGTGAGATTTCGGCACACCGTGGTACCATCCAGGTCACGTTGATTGAAGAGCAGAGAGGTTTCATAATTTGTCGAATTAAATCCCATCCACCTAGGAAAGTATTAGATGTTAAAATTATAGAATTTATTTTTCTATTTTGTGTGACGTTCATTAAATTGGAAACAAGTTTCGCAAAATTATGTCTTAAATGGGTGGGCCGAATCAAATTTGCCCAAGTTTTAAAATTGCGTTTTTTTTAAATATTGCATACCATCCAGTCAAGCAGTAAGACTTGATGTCCCTCATTAACTCTGAGTAGTGTGGGGTGAGATCCTCCTCCTTAGTTCGGAATCTAAAGGCATTTCCTCCAGAATTAGTTTCCGTGTAAAATGTGACCTCTTGGATAAAACATGCATGTGGCAAAGGAAAATAATTGCAAGAGGAACATTGTGACGATATTTGTTCTGTGAGTTGACTATGTAATGACGTCTACAATTGGCTGTATTTTATAGGAATTCTTGTTGCGCCGTACCGTCTGCGATGGAGCAGTACGTAGTTTTGTCAGGATAATAGCTGGACCAGTTGATGTTCACTTGAGATAATTGACAAAGATATCTATGGAATTTATACTCGATGTAATATAATTATGTAATATAATTGTGACTCGTGTTATCGTAAAATGTCAATCCAGTAGGTATTTGTAGATAACGACTTATTTATGCAAAGCGAATATCCTCTCATAAATTAATTGCTTTGTGATATAATAATAAAATTTGTTCTGCAAAATTCTACTGGGTGTGAATTACCGGTAGTAATTACCGTTAGTTGATATGAAATCTTACTATGAATGGCTGTTAAGAAGTGTGCGAATCAAATTAGGGAATTGTGTCGTGGTATCTGTCTCAATTTCTATAGTTTTCTAAATGCAACTAATTTGGTTTTTTTAACTATTAATTAAAACATTACCTAATCCTAGCCGGTGTTCGATTGTACCAAAATTACTTATATTACTCCTCTCGGCTTAAATAAATCGGAAGAATCGCAGTGGTAACATTGTGACGGGAGATGATATTAGGGAGAATGAATTAGTCCACAATTGGTTGTATGTTGTCCTAATACTCATTGCGTCATTCTAACTAGGTATACTTTTTGCCTGATAGCTGAAATATGGGTCGCGAAATATTACGTTTTGTAGATAATATGGATGTTTGTATGGTGAAGTGACATTATTTTTTTGCAAAAGTTAGGTTTGGCCTCACAAATTAAGGACGAAGATTTAGCGAGCGGACGGAGAGGGACCCCAGTAGCTCGTGTCATTGAACTTTTCAAGTTCATTTTCTCCTGAACTCCCCCACTGCATGGAGAGTGGGGGCCCGGTCAGCTGACCGCCCGCTCGCTAAATCTTTGTCCTTAATTTGTGAGGCCAAACCTAACTTTTGCAAAAAAATAATGTCACTTCACCATACAAACATCCATATTATCTACAGAACGTAATATTTCGCGACCCATATTTCAGCTATCAGGCAAAAAGTATACCTAGTAAGATGGAACAGTATAAACTGTAAATTGGACAAGATAAACTAATTCCACGAACCCACTTGATGTTCAATTGGGAGATAATTTTAATTATGTTTATTCTATTTGCAATATGATTAATTTTGAGTTTATTAAATTGATTCGAGATGTAACAAAATGACAGTCTTAGGTGCGATATAAGACAACAGGTACTGTTTTTATCGGGATTTCCTTTACTTATCAATTTAATGCGTGCTAGTTGAGACGTGCATAGCTCGCATGGACCGTGTGGTCCATCTGGACCAATTTTTGTCCATCGACGGTGGACCAAAAATAAACCGTAGCATGCGTTAGAAATAGCTCGCCCTATACTCTCTTATAATAAAATTCTTGAATTCTAGAATTTTTGTGCACTATTCGTGCAAGAGGGTCAATATTGTTTAGCTATGTTGTTATGGTTCTTTCGCACCCACAGTGCAGAAGAACCACTCAAAATACATACATAGTTTTACTATTTTGTATAATGTGTATTGACTTAAATTACAAAATTTGATGCCTAGTTTTTTCAATTATTTTGCACTATTGATGATTTGTCCATTGATTTTCTCAATTATTTTGCATCAATTTCTTTCCAATTTTTCTTATTCATTGAGGCTAAATAGTTGTCTAAAATCAAAACGGGGAAGATTGTAAAGCGCCAATTGGCGGAGAAAACATAGGAACAGACAGACGGACAGACGGACAGACAGATGGACACGACTAGTGCTCCGTATACGATTCGATTCGAAACAATCTTACTCTTATGTTTTTCTAACGTGGATAAACTATACCGAATCGAATCGAATACGGAGCACAGGACACAACAAGTTAAATAGCTCCCATGCAGGGCGAGCTAATATTTGGTCCACGAAGGACCGTGGACACTTTTTTTGCGAGCTATAGAGACGTGTCGATTGCTATCTTGTTTGCCGATCCCCTTTGGTCCTTAGATGGATTTCATTTCATATCATTTCGTCCTTTATTAAAGTGTTAATAGATATCAGTTTACAAAAACTGTTTTGAAATCTATGACACAATAAGCAATAAAACTATGTAAGGCAAACTAATCTACAATATTAGCTAATAACTTAATAAATATAAATGGAGCATTTCACAGTGTACATAAATTAAGAAGATAATCTCATTCCACGAACCCACGTAGTGTTCAATTAAAATAACGGGTAAATATTACAATAAAATGTATACATATTTGACGTAATTGATGATCGGCTTTCCCCGATTGATTTATTTGTAATTACAAGTTAGTGTGTGGGCTAACCACAAATTTTAAATCAGGAATTCCTCCCCTTATCAGGTAATGGACACATTAAATGTATGACGTATTATGTACAAGTCGCAAATACTTTGGGTATAGGGTCAGATATAAAAAGGAGTCAGTTCTGGTCAAATTAAGTCAACTTGAAAGACAAATCTGGTCAAAATGTTGCTTAAATTGGTGTCCTTCGCTCTTTGCCTCTCTTTTTCGCTGGGTTTGGTTCAAGAACTTGCATTCTACACGGAAACTAACGCTGATGGGAGTGGGCTGATATTCCGGACGAAACAGGCGGATCTGACATTATGGGGGTTTATGAAATACGAAATTATATGTTTGGTGAACCGGAGGAGTAGACAAGATGTTATGCAGACATGACGGGATCGCTTCTGGTGCCACGGGCACCAGAAAATAACCTAGTATTAAATATTTCTTAACTTATAAGGTATGCAAAAACATACTAAATTTTATGAATAATAAATAAATTGACCAGCTTATTGCTGCAAAGATACGCTCCTCACCAATTGCGATGAAAACTTGTCTGAAGTCCTTTATGGGTAACTGTTACTGAAAAATTTCGTCTCATTTTGATCTAAAATTACATCCAGTTGCTGTTTTCGGAAACAGCTATCCCTTGTTCATTATGGACCATATTTTATTATGGGGCATATTCACTTGGATACACATTTAATGAATAGACTGGATTATTGTTATTTTTAATAACATATTTTAATTATTTTAATTATTATACGTACTAAGTTCTGTTAATTACAAATCAAATTTTTAAGATGGTTAAAGTAAACTCTGGATAATCACTTTTACATTAAATTTTTTCTAGTTTATTTCAAGTTTAAGCACCTACTCTCAGAATCATGGACTCCTGCTTGCCCATTCCACGATTTATGTCATGCCCTTCCTTTAAATAATTACCCCAATAAACTGAGCATATCAGTTTTTCATAAATATCATCCCAAGAAAACCCAGGATTACTAAACCCTTGAGTGGAAGATAAATATCGTTCATGTACAAGGCTAGAAATATAATAAATTCTCTGTACAAGTTGATTATAAAATTAAAGGCAGGCTGAAGTTCACGTGAAAAATTTATGTGAAAATTATGTTACAGCGCGTTTCTCATCTTGATTTTCATCTTTGATTTATACTGGGGTTGGACACTAGTAAATCTGGAGTTTCTACTGCGGAGTACATAGAATATTGGAGATGGACAACCAATTTCAGGTCATTTGCTCATTAAATATTTATCAACCATTTCAGGTACCTTGCATTACGTAATAACTTGATTGCCACTCAGGTACATTTTATCATCATCCCTGAGGATAAATTGCATTCAGGGGACAATCTGGAATTTAATTAGACAAAAATCAGTCATAATGTAGAGTTTTATAAAAATACATTTATCACCAATAAAATAAAAATTGAAACAAGTTATTACAATGTATTGCGTATTGATAGAATGAGTTGGATTATCTTAAGTCAATGTGGAAAATGTTGAGGTAGTCTTTACACTTTGTTTACAATATATTTTATTTTGGTTATGTGTGCTCCTCACGATTATATATTTCATGCTGATATTGTTGTCTTATATATACTAACTAGATCGGTTAGTATATAAAGGAGCGGATAGTGGCTAATTCATTTTAGTTTCTTTACTGATTTATCCTCACACATTTGAAATGGGTCTCGATAAGCCCCAAAGGTGGGTTACTGCTGCCGAGAATGATACCGAAGCCTGGAAGTGTTTAGTAATTGTGCGAGCATTGAGGCGGATTCTTACCACCAGACCACTAATTGCGATTTTGGGCAATCATGTGACTCGCGAAATGAGGTAAGACAAAGAAACTAATGAATGATTTCGTTTATTAAAAATTTTGATGGAATACAGAAAATAATTAACTGAAATTTACTATTTAGTATGCGCCTTCAAACTGAAGTTGAGAAGCTTTATTTTATCTCTGAGGAATCTCAACATCATAAATTCCGTTCAGCTGCGAAGCTCAAAATGCTGGAGATGTTCAAGCAGTTTGGTGGGGACAAGATGGTCTTCTTGGATTGCAATTGTGTTCCCGTCAAAAATTGTGATGATCTGTTCCGAGAAAGGGGAGTGCAATGGGTACGAATCCCGGGCAATAAAAATCAATTTTTCGCAAGTATAATTGCAAATCTTCCAAGTTCAGTACGAAAATTTGACGAGGAGGACACCCTTATGCGGATGGTAGTGGAAGGTGAAAACGGTGAGCTTATAAAACTAGATAAATAGTATGTTCTGTGTTATGCACATGAAAAATTGGCAAGATTAACAAGGAGAGTAAAAATTTCGCAGGCGGAGAGTTTCCGCAGTTGTCAACAACAGATCTTGATGCCCTTGGCATACGTTGTAGCTCTGGGTGAGCATATCATATGTAATCCCAGAACGGTTGGTTGCCATCGCCCCATTTGCGCCCGCCACACCTCCTCAAAGATATGAAAAACACGAAAAAAGCCCATTTTTCACATATTTAAACTGTCGCCAAATATCTAATTTTTCTCGGATTGGGATAATTTTTACATTTTTCTGATCCCACGCAGTTACTTTATCATATCCTATAGCAAACTCAACTTTTTTGAAAATTTCCTTGAGAATAAAGGTGTGTGGTGGGTGCATCATGGCATCAAACCGTTTTAGGATTACAAATTCTATATACACCCAGAGCTACAACATATGCCAATGGCAACAAGATCTGTTGTTGGAAACTGTAGAAGCTATCCTCCTCAGTATAGCTTTGCTTAGCCTGAACCAAGGAATTTGTCCCCTATTTTCTATCAAATTCTCCGATTATATGCTAATATGAAAGATTGGAATATTTTGCACTAGGTATCCAGATTAATCAGCCAATAAATTCTTTCAATTATTTGGCATCAAATTTTTAAAGTTTAAATTCCTCTAAAGGACAAGTGGATCACTGCTACATATAAGGGTTAGAATAGACAATCAGCCTTCTAGAACAATATTTGAAAATCAGTATGGGTCACCCTCTGGAGTCCCTCTCCTTATATGTGTTCACATTTAATATCATATTTTGTAATTATAACCAAATAGGTTCCTCTCTACCAAATTTAATACTTTTACGGCACATTTGTAAATCGGTGGAGGTCCCCGTATAGTGAAGATTTTTACTCTTTCACTTTACATTCCTTCACTAGTAGATATCATAGATCTATGTGCCAAATTTTAACTTTCTAAGAAAAAAACCTCACATATTCGTCCTTAAGCAACATTTTAGCTGATATTTTTTATTCTTATGTGTAGGTGCAAACCGTACATAAATACTCTCAAAGATGTAACATATAGTATCTAAATTTTTTTTACAATATTCGAAATAATTGTTGGGTTTTAGACGATTACTTTCTGGACGATCATAATAAAATGGAAAATTTGGATGAAATCACTTATTGCCTAGAGTTGGATATCAAATGGTAACTAAGTTTTAAATAATTATTAACATTAGAAACAGATTCTGAAAGAATTATACACATTTTTTCATCTAAGTAATCACCCAACTCCACTTCTGGGGAAGGACGTAAAAATGCTGTGTTTTACTAATGGTCATCCATTGGATAATCCGGTCGCGAAGAATGGCTTGATGGGAAGGGAGGATGGTTGGATTAATGAAGATGCTATTCATTTAGTGTCAAGTCTGGTACCGGAATTTTTTCTTGATTTATGCAAAGTAAGGATTTATATTTTCAGTTATGACGTTTTTTAAAATTTAAACATTTGAATCTTATTAATATTAGAATCCTACTGGAAACAATCTGCTACCAACCGAATTGAAAAATTCCATCGCTATTGTCGGAATGGCTTGTCGCTATGCTGGGGCAAACTCAATTAACGAATTTTGGACATTATTGGAAAAGGGCTTGGAAGGAGTAGGACGCCCCCCGCATGGAAGATGGTCACCCGATACAGCAGTTCGCATGGACGATATTCTAAACATGGAAGCCGGCTACCTTTCATGTCCAATCGATATGTTTGATGTGAAATTTTTCTCCATGAGTACAACATATATGTCATACATGGATCCACAACATCGACTACCCTTACGCGTGGTGTGGGAGGCATTTGAGGATGCCGGAATTAATCCTGACTCCCTGAGAAATACCTTAACCGGGGTGTTCGGTGGTAGATGGACGAATGAATACAATGACATGTTGCAGAAACAAGATACTCATGCTGGGTACTTGACTCGTACTTATATGGGTAACGCACTTGGCCCGCTTACGGCAAGAATTTCTCACTTTTTTGAATTTATTGGGCCCTGTATATCTGCGGAAGGTGCTTGCTCCACGTCCATTATAGGGGTGGATACGGCGTGCAACAGTTTGAGGAACGAAGCCTGTGATGTAGCTGTCGCGGTTGGGGCCAATCTCATTCTTACTACAGAGATGTTTGAAAACTCTGATGGTCTCCTGGCAGCGGATGGGAGATGCAAAGCATTCGATGCAACTGCTGATGGATTTGGAAGAGCAGAGGGGATTGGAGTTCTTATTCTTAAGCGGTATTCGAATGCAGTGGCTGACGGGGACCGAATTTGGGGGCTGATCCGTGGTTCGGCAGTGGTACAAGAAGGGACAAGCAGAAGCATGGGAACTCCGACTGTGGATGTTGAGGCAAAGGCGATGAAGGTAAACATTATTCATGGTACACTCTAAAAAGATGTTATCCAAAAGAAGGTGCACTTTTTACCCGATTTTATGTAACTTAATCCGAAGCAGCTATTACTACAAATGATGTTAACGTTACTAAATGTAGGAATTGGGCAAAAAGTGTGTCACTTTTTAACGGTGCATATATTTATTGTTGTTCCAATATAATTTGTACAATTCATTTTCTTGAAAATAATAATGTTTCCCTGTATGTTCTTTAGTTCGCTTTAGCACGAGCTGGAGTAAATTCAGATGACATAGATTTTGTCGAAACACATGGCACAGGAACTCCAGTTGGTGATCCAATTGAAATTGCTGCGATTGCCCAAGCATATTCATCTGGAGGGAGAAGTAACATTTTAACATTGGGATCAGTAAAGACAAACATTGGTCACACTGAATCTGTCTGTGGCATTGCCGGCATCCAAAAGACAGTGTTGGCAATGAAAAACGAGCTAATCCCCAAACATTTGCATTTCAACAAGCTGAACCCTGAAATAGATCTGGAATGTATCCCTGCTCAACTTCCAGTAGAATCTATTCCCTGGAAGAAATCTGGAAAGCCAAGAATAGCTGGAATAAGTTCATTCGGTTACACGGGAGCACAGGCTCATCTAATTCTACAGGAACCCCCAGAATACAAAACCCCAACATTACTTACGACCAAGCTGGACTCAAGATCACCAAAGATCACTTTCTCTGCAAAAACTAAAAAATCTTTGGAACTCCAACTGCAATCTTATGCCAATCTTCTCCAGGTTAAAAACACTTCTCTTAACGATACTGAGTTCACCATGCACACTGGCAGACCGCACTTTCAGCTGCGACAAGTTGCAATAGGTTCAACCCACGAAGAGCTACTTGGTTCAATTTCATCTCTATCGGACAGAAAACCTAAAGCAATAACAAGTAATCAACCCAGCCTCTGTTTCCTCTTCACAGGACAAGGCTCTCAATATGCTGGAATGGCGAAAACACTTTATCAAGAGAGTGTCGTTTTTCGATCAAATTTTGACTGGTGTGATTCTGTCCTCCTTCAGAATTATGGGTTTTCCATAAAGGAAACTCTCTGGTCTCATGAAAATGCCGACCTGCTCAAATCAACTCTGCATAGCCAGACTTCAATTTTTTGCATTTAACTGTGCCTACTCCGTTTGTGGGAATCTTGGGGAGTAACTCCGAATGCAGTTGTTGGGCACAGCTCGGGTGAATTTTGTGCTGCTGTTGCTGCTGGAATGCTACAGCCGCTCGATGCCCTGAAATTAGTTGTTGCAAGAAGTAAACTTATTGACAAGCTGCCACACTCGGCAATGATCGTCATAGCAGAAGATTTGGAATCAACGACAGAGATGATGAACATGGCATTTGCTAAAACGACGGATTGGTTGTCGATTGCTGCCACTAATTCCAGAAATCAAACAGTTCTTGCCGGATCCACACGAGTTATCCAGGATTTTAAATTGTTCTGCGCTAAAAACAAAACAAGGACTCATTTCTTGGATTCAGGCCATGCCTTCCACTCCGTAATGATGGACTCCATACTGGATGAATATTTAGCTGTAGCGTCTACAGTAAGGTTTCAAAATGCCAGTAAATGTACTTACATATCGGGCGTAGAGGGAAAAGCAATTTCAGAAGTGGATGCTGCTTACTGGATAAGACATACTAGGGACAAGGTGCGTTTTATGGAAGCTTGTCACACAGCTGAGAGGAAAGGATACAACCTTTTCTTGGAAATAGGACCCCATCCCGTCCTGTCTGCCATAGTGGTTTCTAACCTGGAAGAGGTACATACAATTATTAAGTTTACACCTTATGCGAGTATCATTTAATTCACATACATATATATGTGTTCTATATATATGCATTTTATAATAGCTTGTTCCCGACATTGGTGCATACCCGTCACTAAGAAAGAATTCCCCCAACTGGGAGACAATGCTTACATCGCTTGGAAATTTGTACCAACATGGGGTTTCCATTGACTGGTCAAGTTTTCACCGTTACACCGATGCAAAGAAGGTTACCCTACCAGGCTATCATTTTGATGAAACGAGATTCTGGATTAATATCAAAGACGATGGTAGTCTCCCTTTTCATCCACTACTCGGGGGATTTCTTCTCAATCCAAGTGAAGTTACAATGTTTAAGAATCAAATGAATATTCGATATATACCGTTTTTGAAAGACCACACGATCGGAGATAAAATAATCTTTCCGTGTGCGGGATATCTCGATATGTGTTCCACTGCCGGGCTCACAACTAGTAATCCTAACGTGAAGGATTTGCTGAGGAGTAATCCTGCAATAACCGTGAAGAATTTTGCTATTCACGTCCCTGTATGTTTAACGGAGACAAATCCAACAGAATTCCAGGTTAGTGAAACAACTTTTTAATATCAACTTAAGTCGATATTATCCTTATTTAACGAACTTTTCTAAGGTTTCATTAACGACGACTAATGAACGAGATGTCGCAATCTCAATCAATACAAAATTGGAAACCGAAGATAGTGAATCAAAATGGGTTAAGAATGTCACCGCAATTTTTATCGATAAGGCTTCCTCAAATTCTGATTGTCCTGATCTATCATGCATCAAGTCTCGAGGCACTAAGCCAATTAAGCGGACATATCCGTATGATAGCCTTATGCACGACGGCTACAACTTTGGTCCATCATTAAGAATTCTGGAAGAACAAGTTTTAGAAAGCATGACTGATAACCAGGATACAAATAAGGAATATCTTTTCAAGTTTCAAATGCACGAAGTTATGGACAACTTGGAACGATTCGTGTTGCATCCATGGGCACTGGATGCAATGCTACAGGCACAAACAGTCACCCATAGATACACTTATTACAATAACGGCACAAACCACTTAGTGGTACCAGTACAAATCGATTCTGTCACTTGGCATGATAAAATACATGAGAGCTTCACTGGTTCCGGATATATCTACGTAAAAGTTAAACCTACTGCTGGAAATGAAGCGTATCTCTTTAACGACAACGGCAAAATCCTAGTGACTATGTTGGGTGCAGAACTGATGGAAACAACTCTAGCAAATATGATGGGGTTAATTAATTCTCAACGAAATCCCTATCCAAAAATGGCCAGGGTGGAGTGGAAGGAATGCAGTGGACACGAGGAGAAAGGTATTTTAGTGGAGGCTTCAATAATAAGTGAGCCCTTAACGCCAAACTTATTGACTTGGATCATATTTTCTGATGAATCTCCATTATGCTTGGATGTGATTAACAGACTGAAAGAAATTAACTCCGTCATTGTACGAATAACACTGGAGAAGAAAGAAGAAGTAGACACAATATTAAGCGGAATTAGAAATATTTCAGGGATCATATATTTCTGGGGTCTACTGGATAATATTACCATGGACGAGATGTGTAAGCCCTTTCTGCAAATTTGTAAATTTCTAGCCAGATTTCAACGTTCGATAAAACTAATGACCATAACTACTGGAAACCATTCCACCGGTCCTTCCGATTTTTTGAACTATTCGCCCAAGTCTTCGCCACTTATTGGAATGACAAAAGCCGTCGCGAATGAAAATCATGACGTAACCTGTAAATGTGTCGATATAGATATCACGTCACCAAATTGCGCCAAAGAAATATTTTCCGAACTTTTTTCTTCAGATGGCGAAGTTACGGTAGCATATCGGTCTTCGACACGGCGCGCCAAGATTTCGGCCATATAATTATCAGAACAAGAAATACAAATCACTTGTGATTCCATCCACGCCGAGAAGCAAGCTCATACTGCCACCTTCACATTTGATATCCGACCTCAAATTTGAGCCATGTGACCCTGAGCATCTGGCAGATGATGAAGTGGAAGTAGAAGTAAGAGCTTACGGACTAAACTTTCTTGACATGCTGATGGTAACCAAGCCTGATCCTGTTTTCGAAAAATTCAATCACTTCGGAATGGATATTGCAGGCATTATTACCAACGTGGGAGCAAAGTGTAACCATAAGGTAGGGGATCGGGTAATCACGCTTCGTAAGAGTGGCGTCGCTTTACCGACCCATGTCGTTTCCAAGGAAGTATTAACAATCCCGATCCCCGTTGATATGAATTTCGCAGATGCTGCTACATATACCGTGGCATTCTTCACCGTAGAAACCTGTCTAAACGAATTAGCAAAAATTACAAGGGACGACGTTGTCCATACAGCGTCTGGTGGTGTGGGTTTGTGCGCCATACAGAGTGCGCAACAAATCGGTTGCACCATCGTAGTCACTGCAGGAAATGAAAGAAAACGAAATTATTTGCGAAGTCTGGGATTGGAGCATGTTTATAATTCTAGAAACACTAATTATGGACGGGAAATCAGGGCAGCACTGGACGGGAAGGGAGTAACCGTGGTTCTTAATTCTTTAACTGGGGAGGGATTCAAAGAAACCACGCTCGAGTTATGCGATCAAGGCGCAAGGTTTATTGAAATGAGCAAAATGAACGTCTGGAGTGAATCAGATGTAGGAAAAATAAGGCCCGATGTATTCTACAGAATCGTTGATATTTTAGCTCAACCCCTTGCAAATTGGGCATTGTTGGGCAAGAAGTTGAAAGCTAACTTATTTAAGGAGGCTAACTTTGCCATAAAACCTTTGCCATACACCACATTTAATGCAACTGAGATTAGGGAGGCAATTGAGCACATGAGAGAAACAAAACACATTGGAAAAATTGTGGTAGCAATGCCAGAAATACAGAAGGGATCAGCGCCTCTCCAAAAGTTTAGCTTCCCACTTTTCAATAATAAATCGACCTACGTGATTTCCGGAGGTTTGGGTGGAATTGGATTGGAAGTTGCGAAATGGATGGTCACCTCAGGGGCGAGATATTTTGTCCTGCTAGGAAGGAACCAGCCGAAGAAGGCAGCCCAAGACAAAATTGAACGAATTTGTAAACAAGAAAACGATGTTAGAATCCTTGTTGAGAAATGTGATGTTGGAAACTTTGCAGATGTTGTTCGAGTTTTTGATGAATGCGCTGAAAAAATGCCACCCATCAGGGGAATTATGCACGCGGCTGCCGTTTTGGACGACTCAACATATGATAATCAGACATGGACCAAATACAAAAACGTGTTCAAAAATCACTGGAGCCTGGAATTTGCATAAAATCAGCTTACAAAATCGATATCCGCTGGAACACTTTGTTCTCTTTTCTTCGATATCAGCTACCTTAGGATTTGTTGGGCAAAGTAATTACGTTGCCGCAAATCAATACTTGGACAGCTTGGCAGACTATAGGAATTCACAGGGCTTACCTGTAACATCCATAAGATGGGGTCAATGGGGTGAGGTGGGTATTGCAGCAACTATGACGCACTCCATTTTAACACCAATGACCCTCCATCAAGGTATCGCTGCTTTTGAATACGTCCTAAGGTCTCGTCACACCCATATGGTTGCGTACGAAGCAGATTTTACCAATTTAAGGAACATCTTACCTTCGACTAGCGGACTTCTTGCTGGAATTCAGCAGTCATCGTATAGTTCTTCCACCTCAGGTGTACCTGTCGGAAACACTTTTTGGTCAGAGTATGACGGTAGTAAAATTCCTGCTGAAAAGAACATGGTTATTATCGCCTTTATCAAACAAGTTATTCGAATCACGCTAAAAATGGATAAAAACGAAGAGATTCTAGATTCCTCAAATTTCCAAGAAATTGGAATGGATTCACTACTCATAGTTGAGATGAAAAACGGACTCCAAACTATGATGGGTAAAAGTGTTAAAATCTCCATTAATGCGGTTAAAGACTGCAAAACTGTTGTCGAACTGGGGGAAAAGCTGATCGAGGCAATCTCAATGAAGGAAGGGTTGACTCCTACAACTGGAGAGTAGGAATCAATCGTTGAAACCATAATTGCGAGATTATCTTCATATTTGAGTTAATTTTTCCAACTGTAAATTTGGAGTATGTATACATCTATAAGGTGATATTAATAAGTAATAATTTTAAATACAATTTGACATTTTTGGGCTTTATCGGTACATGGGTATTTTAGATATATTGGGGAAAGGTTTGGTGACTTATAAATAAATATAGCGATTAAATGTCTCTTCTTAAGAAAAGTGTTACAGTAAAACCGTTACTAATCATTGTAAACATATATTACAAATAAAACCTAGTGGTTTAATAAAAATTTAGTACACTTGTAAATATTCATAGTCGAAGTGCTTAAATTTAAGGTTGGTAGAGGGTAAAATAATTTTTACAGATACATACATCTTATCATAATAATATGCACATAGCGACGACATGGATGCTTAAATATACGACAGTCGTATTTATGTTTACAATTAGACATTTAGAAAGTCGGGAAAGCACCAAGTGGACGAAATTATTTTTCGGCAACTTGAATGTATCGGCATCTACAAACTCATTCGTTGCATGGCCCTGATAATCAGTATAATTTCATCCAAATCGTTCAAAGCAGGAAACTGTAATCTTGTTACGTCAATTGAAAAAAAACTGAAAATTATTAATGTCGAGCATAAGTTCAATTGAATTTTTTTAAGTTATCTGAATTCAAATTTAAGTGGATTCGTTATCATAAAGTCAAGCAGTAAGACTTGGCGTCCCTCAATAACTCTGAGTAGTGTGGGGTGAGATCGGCCTATTTAGTTCGGAGTCTAAACGCATTTCCTCCAGAATTAGTTCCCGTGTAGAATGTGACCTCTTGAATAAAACCAATTGCGAAATAGGTGGCAAAGAAAAATAATCGCAAGAGGAACATTGTGATGATATTTGTTCTGTTAGTGGACTTATGACGTTGTTAACAACTGGTTGGATTTTATACGGATTATTATTGCGTAATACCGTCTGCGATGGGGCAGTGTGTAGTGTTACCTGTGTCAGGGTAATACATGCACCGAGTTGATGTTCACCTCAGATAATTGACAAACATATCTAGGGAATTTATACGCGATGGAATATAATAATTATGTAATGGTCAGGTTTACATAATTGGCTTGTGTTGTCTTAAAATGTCAATTCTGTAAGTGTTTGTAGATAACGACTTATACATATATTCAAAGCGATATCTTCCTCCTCTTATAAATTAATTGATTTGTAATATAATAATAATTATTTTCTGTTCTACAGAATTCTACTGTGGCGTCCGAGTGTGAATTACCATAATGGCTGTAATTACCGGTAACCCAAGGCCCACTGAATGGATTGGAGTAGGTCTTACCCTAAGGTAATCGCATTTTCCTTGCTTATCAGAGGGAGGATATACGAAAAAGAATCGGGTCAAAAAAATGTTTGTAAAAATATTATCTAGGATATCCCCTACCTTGTATTAGGCATTATCAAACCCTACGCGCACAAGTGACGATTTCATGAAGGCAAACGTGCTGGCAAATTCCGATTTCTTGCCGATGTCATGGGTGCAACAAAACTTACACCGCTTCGGTACCGAATAAGTACTATATTTGGTTGTACCTCCAATACTGACACACCTTCAGTATAAATTCGGCACCGGTTTGTTGGTATACAGCCTACACCGTTCATATGGTACCTATCTAGTACTGGTAAATATCGGTGACGATTTTTAAGTCACCCAATCGGTACTGGCTCGGCAGCTTGATTTTTGTACACATAACAAGAGTACCTGTCACGTACCGGCCAGTTACCGATCAGGGATTGATGAGACTGTAAATTGGCGGGGGTCTCAATCCATCATCTGCAGTGACGAGTTAGATTGCACGTTGCGAATAAAAACCATAAATATGGATTTAAAAAAGTTCTCTGTTGTCCATTTCGTCGACGAAAACAGTTATGAAGTTATCCCGTCGACTTGGATAACCCCGGACCAAACGCGTGGTTCGTTTCCGTCAAATAAACCGAAAGGGCTGCAAAAATTACAATCTACACCTGACTCTCCTTACAATTCTGCTTGGCCATTGTGGAACATAAAGATAATCAAGACTTATGGTAAAAACGTAAATCCACATAATCATGTAATCTAGTTATTTTTGGTATTTAATTACTAATTTTTTATACACAGACAAATAACAAGAAGGCTGGAAGTGTGGTCAAAGGACTCGAAACTAGTGACATTGAACAGGTGAGGAAGTCTCGACGTAACATTCCACCACAATTACCGTCGGAACAAATAATCGAACCGGATTCAAATTTAGGTAAGACAGCAACTTCATAATTATATTAACATTAATTAAGGCTTATTAAATAATTTTTATATAATATGATTTTCTATTAATTTAACTAAATAAATTTCAGGAGAATCGGCCAAACTAAATAATTTCCTGACATCAGACCAGGAAGAAGGTCGACAGCATGAACGACGTGAGGTTCACGATAATCCTCAGTCTCTAAGTGAAGCACCCGGATCAGGTAGAATTTACTATCATAATAATTGTTGTTGTCAAAACGTACAGTATGAAAATCTTAATTTTTAGATTCGATTATTTATATACAATATTTAGGTCAGAAACTCTTTCTGCAAGTCCACAATCCGGATGTTACGCAACTCCAAGAAGAATTTCGTCGTAAGTAATTCTTAAAATGTTAATCGTATAATTATCCCTCGAATCAACAATACATTAAATGTGTATTTGCTTTTAGGATTCCAAGAGGAATCTCTTCATAACCAAGCCGAATTGTTGGTTCGAATTAACGATTTAACAAAATTAGTTAAGCAAGTACTTTCGGCAACTGGTACTGTTCCGTCCCCTTCAACATGGCCATTAAGAACATTGGAGGATTTTAAAACTGTGGACGAATTAATTAAAGATCCGAAAAATTTTGCTGCCGAGGTTACTTACATTGATTCGATTTATACACAAAATTACAATCAGATTAAAAATTTAATTTTACTTCCTTCATACGTTTTTAGTTCAAAGCATTGACAAAGATTCGTGGAGGATCTTTATTAAACCATATCTATTCGACACTGGGTTCGATATTTGCTCATGAGTTAGCACTTCAGATAAGGTGGACTGATGCTTCGGGAAAAGTTCAACTCCAAGGGTCAGAATTGGCGAGACTTGTTAGAGGTAATTAGTATAATCTTGTCATAGTTTAGCGTTTTTCTGTAAATTTGTACGTGTTGTGTATTTGTATTTATGAAAGTATTTATATTCATGTAAATTCACAGAGGCGGTAAAGTTTACTCGAGAGGAGGACCAAGACGCGACCGACAAGAACATTAACTCAATAATTGCAAAATGGTTCCGACAATCCCCTGATCGGAAAGGAGGCAGCGGATCTAGGAGAAACGTTAGCAGCGATGGAAACACCGAGGAGAACCATGGAGAGGAAAATACAGAAGAAGGTGCAGGCGTCACTTCTGAAAATCAGGCAGGCAACTTGTTGTAGTGTTGACGCACATGAAAATAATTTAGACAGTATGGAGGTTATCGACTCACACGAAAATAATTTAGATAGCGTGGATGTTTTTAACGATTCAAGTAGTAGTAGTGTAACTGATTCACCTCCTAATTATTTAATTAGCCAACAAATTACAGATGATTTAGTTGATGGCCCAGTATTAGGAATAGAATTAGAGGCATACCGCTCTATAACTGTATCAAAAAAGTCGCAACTAGTGAATTGGGCATTGACACATAATGTTACCCACTCAGCTCTATCTGATTTATTAGGTTTAATTAGAAATTGGCTTCCTAATGATAATTTTCCAGTTGACCCCAGAACACTTCTCCAATCCCCTAAACAAATAACTTTAGTCCCTCTCGGTGCTGGGGAATTTTTCCACTTCGGTATAACTCCCCATATAAATTCCTTTCTGAACCAACAAAATTTGTTCAGCTTTTCACTGCCAAAATTTGATAGCTTAAATTGTTCTAATCTATTGACCATAACTATTGGCATCGATGGGCTTCCTATTTCAAAGAGCTCAACGTACGAATTTTGGCCCATTCTTGGACGAATTGACCAAGATAAAACATCACAAGTTTTTGTGATTAGTTTATATTGTGGACTTAAAAAACCAGACAATATCGAAAGTTTTTTGGGCCCCTTTGTTAATGAAATGAATAGTTTAGAACAAAACGGATTACAATTTAACAATACACTCTTTAATATTAGAATTCGCTGCATTGTTGCCGATGCTCCTGCTCGTAGTTTTGTGAAAAACATAAAAACGCACAACGCATATTTTGGATGCGAACGATGTTACCGGCGTGGGAAATGGTATCGAAATAGAGTAACATATCCAATTAAAAATAAGGCTGATGCGTATACAAATGATTCGTACAGGCAACGGTGGTACCAATCTCACCATAAGGGCACCTCGCCTTTAGAGATTTTAAAACTGGACATGATTTTTCAGATTCCACTCGACTACATGCATTTAGTTTGCTTAGGAATCATGAAAAAATTGTTAACTGTTTGGGTGGAAGGACCGCTTCCTCACAAACTTTCCGTTAAACAAGTAAGGTTGATTTCAAATAAACTTGAGGCATTTAGAAAATATATTCCATCAAATTTTAGTAGGAAATGTAGAGGTTTGGATCAACTTCGTCATTTCAAAGCTACAGAATATCGAACATTTTTATTGTACATAGGGCCATTTTCATTAAAAAGGGTTTTGACTACAGAAAAATTCGATCATTTTCTACATTTACATACAGCTATGTATATATTAGCAACTGAAACCCAATCTAATGAATGGCTTAACTTTGCAGAACAATTAATAGATAAATTTGTTTCACTAATTCCAAAGCTATATTATAAAGAAATGATGGTGTACAATTTTCACAGTTTAACTCATATCACTGACGAAGTTAGAATTCATGGCTGTTTAGATAGATTTAGTGCTTTCGAATTTGAGAGTTTCATGCAAAAAATTAAGCGTCTTTTAAGAAGCAATTCTTGTCATTTATCCCAGGTGGTCAAGCGTCTGGAAGAAATTACTCGAAATAATTTTAATCACACAACTGCTGCTGGTAATTTTACGCGAGGCAAATCTCTATCAATTAATGATAGAGATAACTGCTATTTAACAGACGATGGCAGATATTGTATTATTAAATGCCTTAACCCTTTATGTGTACAGTATTTAGATGTATGCGATATTAAGTGGTATAAAACTCAAAGTTCTAAATTAGGCGTTTGTAAAGTTTTTAAATTATGTGAAACTGTGGAAATTCATATTATAAAATTAAGGAGAAAATGTATGTTTTTAAGGAAAGTAGATAGTGATCTAGGGTATATTGTTCCGTTATGCAATTCTGATTGTTGTAAGTAGATTATATATTTATACTCTATAAATTGTGAATTTGTTCTTTAACATAATAAATATGTAAACCATTTAAAATTGTGCATTATTTCACACCCATGTTATTGCACCGTAACGATATCTGGAAATTGGTGCATATATGTAATGATTTGGAAGTTCCGAGCAGGTACCGGTGCATCGGCGTTGGTTGAAGTGATGGCATAGCGGCACCGAAACTTCACCGATCATTGGCACACAAACGGTACTGGCAAATGGGGCAAATCGGTAGTTTACCTTCGCCAGTGTGCCAGTACCGACTGGTTAAGAAACCTTCACGTTTTTGCTGGTAGGGAAGGATGGGGTCATGCATTCAGCTTTGTCCTTATATATCAGGTCAGGGGGAGGTGATACCAAGAAATTCCTCGGGGAAGAAAGGTTTGTAAAGATATTCTAAATATTTAAAAAGTTTGGAAATTTTTAGTAAAGCAGAAATATTCGACCCCTAAACAACAAGTTCGCTTTCAAAAGCGACTGTCTCCCATTTAGCAGATACGGCCGAAGCCAGAGTAGAAGCTGTAAATTGGACAAGATAAACTCATTCCACGGACCTACTTGATTTCCAGATCCGATAATTGGGAGAAAATTTCAATTATGTCTATTCTCTACGCAATATTATTAATTTTCAATTTATTAAATTGTTTCGCGATGTGACAAAATGGCAGTTTCTGGTGCGATATAAAATAATGGATAGTTTTTTAACGGGAATTCTTTCCCTTATCAATGCAATACGTGATTAGTTGAGACGTGCATAGTTCGCATGGACCAATTTTGGTTCATCTAAACTAATTCTGTTCCATGGACCATGGACAAAAAGAAATTGGTCCATAGATTTGTTCCGAAATACATATATCTCGACAACTGGATGGTCCAATTGGACTATTTTTGCGAACGATGATTTTTCCTGAAACTTGAGAGGTATATATCAAATGCACGAGTCCTATTTGGATTCAGTAGACGTAAGGTCGATGGTTGGACGATGTGATGGTAAATATGGGAGTGCTGATTACGATGGAGATAAAGAATTGGAAGAAGAATGAGGTAGGGATTGGGATGTAGAACCGTAATGAAATATATCTCTGAAATCAAAATAAAATTATTATGAAAGATAAAATTATGAATTAAAAGTTGCCCTGGTAAGTAAATATTCTTGAAAGCAGAACACTTGTCCTGCATGTAAATATAAAAATAAATTTAAAAACCTACAAGGTGCAGTGTCTAGATAGGCAGAATCAGGGAGTGTATCTCATCGACTAGTCCGATAATTTTGCATCAGACAACTGTTAAACGCTACATTTTTGCAAGTTAAGCTTCCTGTTCCTTCATGAGAATCCATTTGACGAGTATGTAACAAATTTTATTTTTTGTAACAAATTCTCGTAATCGGTATGGGTCGCACACCAGGACAACTGGGATCGATTTTGACTTTGTCCTATTTATCTGCAAGTCATTAGCAATCTAAAAACCAAATTTGAGCTCAATTGAAAAATCAGTACGGATGACCACGTATGGTGCCTCGGGATGAAAATATTTTCAAGAACTAATTAATGACCTCTGACCTGAATTTTAGCTTTTTACGATTATTTTGAAATTTTGGTGTAACATACCCCCACGGTGGGGGCAACACCACCTATATGACCCCACCGGTCAACCACCGGACCAATTTGGCTCATGTGCGAACTTGGCCCGTCCTTTCATCCCATAAACGTATGGTGAAAATTTCAACCCGATCGGATAAGTTTAAAGAGAGAGTTATCGTTAGAAAGACAGACCGACGGACGTGACAGCCCTGACTCGGGCTAAATAGACAAATACTACATACATTTTTTTGACATACTTTATTCAAAACAATTTAGTGCTTACAATTGCAGAAAATTAGGAATTAAGAAGGGACCATAACCTATCGACCACGGCAGCACCCCTTGAAAAGGAAAATCTATCGAAATATTTTGAAGTAAGTCTCCGACCATATCTGTGTATGCTGCTCCGAAATAAGATAAACGGAAAAACTTTGCTAGACCTTTTCTTGGGTAATGTATGTTTACATATAGCTCGGCTCAAAGGAAAAGGTGAACCTTGCGTTGATGGCCGAAACAAAGGATTCCTTTGAAAGGAATCATTGTTGGGTAATCTTTTTCTTGGAGTTGAGAAAAGGAACCTTGTTATGGGAACTTCTGAGGGGTCGTTACTTGATGTGTGCATGGCTGAAGGCCTTCTTAACATAATCGAGAGTGAATTGTTAGAAAAGAAGTAGGCAGATTGCCAGTCAGGATGAACCAGTCGTCCTCGTCAGATTATACAGTGGGCATAAGAGCTTATTTATTTATAAGTCTTATTTATAAGAGCTTTAGTGTAAACCGGTAAATAAATTGTATTTTGATTTTTGATAAGTAAGTAATTTAAATTTGAATATTTGTCACATAATTTCCATCCCGCAATTTTTGGGGTTTGTAAAGTCACATTCTGTATCTTATTTAAATTAATGGGTTCATTTTTTTATTTAATTTAAATTTAAATTTAATTTAATTTGAGCCAACCAGGGTTACGAATTTAACATGGCGTCGAGTGGGTCCTGCGACTGGAATAGTATGCCAGAATTGATAAATGTTAGGGATTTTAGAAAATATTGGGAAGTAATTTAAAAAATGGGGACTAAAGAATTTCTGGGTTGTTTAGGTGAAAATATATTTGCTAAATTATTTGGATGGCGATTCAATTGTCCAGTTGCGCTCCGTATCAAGCGAGATGTATGGACTTACTAATAGTCGTGCGGCGGTGGAGAAGATCCAGATTTGCATACGGGATATTGACGATATTGACAAAATTAAGAATGATTCGACTACACTGTGGACTAATTTTCGAATCGTTTCAAAGGACCACCCGAGAAATCTCGTGACCACGCTGCTAAAGACGTTTGGTGCGGGAGAAATAAAAGAATTGATTTTGGATTCCGCGTGGAATTCGAAATCACTGAATTAAACGAGATTTTAAGTTCGATTTTGAAAGTTTTACGAATTTATGTAACGCGTAAGGAGGAGCAGGTGGAAATTGGTGTTTCGAGATGGCTGGAAAATCTGAGGGTTTTAGAGATTAAAGCGAGCTCGGTGTTTGGCGAGGTTTTGAAGTGGGCGCCGAATTTGAGATGGTTGGCCATTTGGACGGAAGAATTGTAAATAAGTGTTTTGCGTACCATAAGTTTGTAAATTTGTAAGTTTGTAAATTACTGATTTATATTTTCAGCCTCGGACCTTACATGGCGGCTAAGTATAGACGGAAAACCCAAGTTTTCCCTGCCCTCGAAGATTATGTGACGGCCCGATTCCATAATTCCAGACATACTGGGAACTTTTCCATAGAATTTAAGCAAATAAGTGAAAATGGTGCTGATTATAGACGTAAATTTTGCGGAATTCTGACATCAATAGAAGAAATTTTGTACCTGTGCAGAATCTGTGGTGCCGTCGGCGTTGGGATTTTTGGCGTTAATGCGGTGCTTTCAATCCGGGCGGATATCCCTGTAAGTGTAAGGGTATCCGACAAGGTGGCGGAATACGGAAAGGACTATTAAATAATAATGATTAGCTTGCTTTGCAATGGTCGTAATTTTGGAAAGGTTTTAATTTGAAAAGTTTCAAGAGATTAGTTTCCCGACTAAATATGGAAACTAGGTAGTTACTTGACAACTAATTTTTCTATTTTTTCCATTCACGTCCACTAGCTGGATGTGTATGTGAAAGGTATAGTATGTTAGCAGACACTCCAATGTTAAATAAAAGCTGGTCGTGTGGCGAAACCTTACAAGATAGGAGTATATTGTCAATGAACTTTATGACGGTCTCCAAAATATAGGTATAGGGCACGCATACGGTTTTTCGAAATTTTTAAAACTTTTAGAAATATCGACGTTGGAGGTCTTGACGCAAATTAATCACTAAATAGCACCGTAAATGATTTGGGTGTATGATAAAGAAAAACGGTCAAGAGGGTTATATCCAAAGGTGTAGTAGCTACAAATTTTGGTCGAAAATTTTTTCATAAAGCGCCTCGCAAAGGCGGGAAAATTAAAAATGTCGACTTTTGGGTCGTTTCATTCTGACAGGGGTAACACGAACGAAATTGATGTTTTCGAGAAATTATAATTTGATTGATATTCCTGAGAGGTATGCGGTATTTCGTCTCATAAATCATTTTTCGATATATGGCTTGGTTTTGGTGCCAATTTCAAATCTATGAAACTTTTCGAAATTTCCGCTGTCATTCTCTAACCGGAGCTGCAGCGGAGCCATTACATTTTAGCGACTAAAACTAAGCAGAACTCTCTCGCAGACGGTCCAACTTACATTTCTTCCCTGTAAAACTTTTTCAAAATCTATCTGGTTTTTGAGTTATGGCGCGATATCTCAAATTCGAATTTTAATGTGTAATATAACATATATATTGTTAAAAAATAGTATTTTCCTCGGTTTTACCGCATAATTTCAAATATGTTTAGTTTCACGAACTTGTTGGCGAAACTGAGTATCGAAATAACGGTAGAATTTTGCAGTATTGTTGAAGTATTGGGGATCGACGGATTGAAGAAAAAAGTGAGAACATATTTGCACTATTGGCAACGTGCCACGGAAAAAACTTTAACCAAAGAAAGTTTTATTGATTTCTCGTAATTTCAGATCCATCTGTGAAATACTTATGAAGGTATTCCCAATAATCGAGAAGTAACTTAATCTTCCAGGTAATTCTCACCCACAAGACGAAAATAATAACGAGTGGTGAAATCTATGTAAATTTCGTCCATTTTAGAAATTGGGACGATTCAACGTTATGTAGAATGGCGCTGATCGTTTAGCTTATTTGTACGAATTATGATGTATTTTTCACGAAACTCTGCGAACACAATTCTATACTATGTAGACCCAATAGAAGTAATCGATATAAAATGTATACTTTGACCGTAGGAGAAACATTATTCAAACCGCTGGGAATTAGGCTTGCGGTAATTTAACAAAATTCTTTTGTGAAGACTAACTCTGTATTTAT